CAAATCGTATGTGCTTTTAGCCAAAGATTCTGAATATGCAATCAAAAATAGGAGTTCCCACTTAAGATTTTAAAGTTGCCCCCACTTCACCGCCCAAGGGGTGGGGTGGGGGGGCTGATTTTAACATCAGTGTATGTCTCCCTCGGAATGATGAAATTTTGATTTTTAACATTTTTTCCTAGTGTACTTATTTTTTGAGATATTTGAAAGTTTCAGGTTAAAAAAATCACCCTGTATATTTATATTTTTTAATTTTCTACTGTTTTAGGATTCACTTGTATGCACATGGTCGCACTCAGGCAATTTACTTAATAAAGCCTACTGCAAAGCGCCTATATGGAGCATCGATGTGTCCGAAGAAAATACCATACATGTGGGTGGAGGTGATGGATCTGTGTCTACGCAACCTTTTGAACCCTACAAGAACCTGAAAACGAGTTTTCTACCTGGTTTTCTACCTGGCAATGATACACGCGATTTTCCTAAATACGTTTGCTATTTGCACGACGACACAATATTAGTCTTCACTGAATTGGGAAAACTACTGCATTACAGCAAAGAAATGGTGCATAAGAGTACTATGTATTTAAGAAAAGACTATTATATTATGCAAGTTTCTCTCGATCGCAGACGTGTCGCTTTTGCATCTAGAGAAGGCTACGTAAAAGTATACGAAGGTAAGAATGCTTATTACAATAAAAATCTTGATACGAACAGACTTGTTATGTAAATATATTATCTTTTTTCATTCAAGTTTTCAATTGATGAAATTAAATAATATATATTTTCAGAGCACCGTGGGACTTTACGTACGCAGTTTACATACGAAATGCAAGTAATGAAATCACAAATTTTTTCTTTGCAATGGCTGAGCACTCAATGGTACTCTGCTCTCGCAGTATGTGGAGCGAACGGTCTTCTGCGATTAATCCGTTTTTCTGCTGAATTCTATGGTATGTAAATCACTTATTTTGCAACTGCATTTTAACTGTAATGTATTTTAGAATATATTTAGCATTACAAATTTATATAGATGAGCCTAGAATAATTAACGTACACTACGTGTTACCACCCAGTCGAGAACGTTGGTTGACTGCAGCTATAATGTATGAAGTTGGGAATAACGATAAGGGCACGCAATCGTTGTTAATATGTGGTGACAGAGCTGGGAATGTTCATGTATTTATAACACAGCGGGGAGATATCTTGACTGAGTCTGTGATTATTAGAAAGCCTATTCAAACGCTCCATAAAATTCATGGTAAAATAGGCGTCCAGTCGTTCGCTCTGTTTGAAGAAAATTTAATAACATCCGGGCGCGACGGGATGTTGAGATTTTATCACATATGTGAATGTAGCATAGTACCCTTGTCAATGCATAAAAAGAAGATACCAATGGACTGGATTAGCGGCATGAGAAACGTGAGAGTAGAAACAAATAAGACAGAAAAGGAGGAGGTCCTTTTTATATTTGGTTTTAAACAGGTATAAATTTAATGATTTTATATGTATCCTAAAATCTCTCTCTCTCTCTCTCTCTCCCACATTAATTCATTTGACTGTCTAAATTCTCTTACAATTCTTAGTCTAACCGCAATTGCTGGCACTAATGTTCATTATTGTTTTTATTAATTACTTTTGTTTACTCCCATAAATTTTAACATTCTAAATATTAACTCTTCTTCACTAATTTAAATTTTTTAAATTTTTCTTATCTTCACCAAAGACTATTTATATTATTATTAATTTAGTAAATTTTTAAATAAAAATTAAATTTTTTTCATATCAGCTACTTTTAATACTAAACCTAATACCTCTCTAACCAACCATCTAAACTTTTTAAACCCTAAAATCTTTTCTTTGTAAAAGAAATATTTTCTTTAAACTAAAATTTAAATTCACCTTCAATATCTTATATGTAATTGAATGGTTTTATATATATATATATATATATATATATATATATATATACATATATATACATATATATATATATATGTGTATATATACAGGGTCATCGAAAAATATGGGACCCCCTTAATATCTTCAGTTAGAATGCAATTTGGAGAAAATGTCCAATAGCAAAGTTGTATGGTTTCAAGCGAGGAGTAAGATGATGACCTTGACTTTGATTTTGACCATGTCCTTTAA